ATAAATTTAGACATTTATTGGAAAGCAATCCGTTAATATAATATGAGAACGAGATGTTACTTGCCATTCATTGCATTTGTTCAAGCTCAAATATTAAATTAAACTAAAAAGAAGCTAAACAAATGAGTTTAAGCTTTAATACTAATGATATTGTATTTCCTAATCACATAATAGGGTTTTTAAATTAACACTGTTTGTTTCTTTCACTTTATCTATATAATTTATTTTAGAAGTTGTTTTAGTGTGAAGCTATTCTTTTCGCCAAGAAAAACAAGGTTTGTTATTGAAGGCTTTCGAATCGGCAAAAATGCAAACCGCTTTAATATAGGTTCGAATTAAGATTAGGAATAATTTTGGCGGACCAACGTACGATCATTTTTTTTAAATTGCTCGTTACCGCCAATTTTGATAATTTTTATAAAATCAAATTAAGGAATAACGAGTGGCGAAAAAAGAATATACTTACATCACTTAAGTTCAACTGTTTGACTAAACAAACACCTTCGATATTATGGAATATCCTGGATAAGCAAGTGGTAAAAAAATTTACAAAACTTTTATATTAGTTCAAAATTAATGTAGTTTTTTTATAATCTTACACTCAAAACTTCGAAATATTTGCGGTTAATGCAAATCGTGGTCATTTCGGACATTTATTTTGTCCAACAATAATAGAAGAGTATCCAGAATAGTAATTAGTAATTAGTGGTATTTTAACTTTGTACAGCTGTAAAACTAAGTTTCTGCAAAAATTCTGCTTGCGTTCCAATTTTCCATATTGCTGTAGATGCCAATCACGGCTTCTTATGCATCATTTTTTGGGTTATTTTGTCTGCTTTTAAAGCATTGCTTAGATTAACACATGTTTCTACGATTATGCGAGTGGAAGTACTTCGATCTTCTAGTGGCCTTAATTGCCTTAACAAAACAAAATTAATAATTCCCCATTCGTTGCTGCCGCAATTAGTTCCAGTAATTTGAATTCGAATGTCTCAACATCCTTCTTTTGAGAGAGTTGAATTTAAGAATATCATGTTGATCCTCCCTAAACTATTTATCTAATAATAGCTAAGGTATTGAATCGAGTACTGGCATTTTCCAACCTATAGAAACCAGTAATTTAGGGAAAATAAAAAATGATTCATCCATTGTATCCATTCTAGCCTAAATATCACCAAAGCCATATAAATACCATAATATGTATATTCTGCTACTATTAGACATATTGATTTATCGCTCTGTAAATATGTATCTTATATTTACGGAAAGGAGTCAAGGGGACTGTCAAAAACCTGCTTTCAGGGGCCACACAATACGATTGGGGTACTTAAATGTGGAACAGATATGCACATCAAATACATTCACAATTATTTGCAGAAGGGGAAACTAACTTGACGAATTCCATACATACATCCAGTATCTAAATTTTGTATTATGCCTTTATCCGAGCGAATTCTAAAAGAATATTCTATCTCTTCTACTTTTTAGATTTATGAACATCAGAACTTAGCGTTAGATGATTCTTTAATCTAGGTAAAAGCTGATGGTTCGTCCCCTTGACATTTAAGACATGAACCAGACGGTTCCTCATATTGAAAATTGCAAAAACCAATCCATCTTTCACCCGCATTCATCGAGAAAAACTTCGACTCTAACCCAAACTAAACCCTCTAGTATTTTATGTTTTTCTCCTAAGTGGAATTTATCAACACGCCCTATTCCTCTTATAGATTTTTATCATTCAACTTGATCACACAAATTTGAATAGCAGTTTTCTTTCAATATACCTAACGTAGATAACAATTTCATTTACATTCTAAAACAGTTAAATTATTAACTCAATAGAAATTTGAATAAAACATAACTGAGCTAATATATTGTGTATTGTTCAAGTATTCCACTTTCAAAAAGGTTTAATTATCACCACTTAAGAGATTATTCGGTTAGTCAATTGAAGAAAGACAAACATTTGTTTATTTACACGCATTATTATAACACGCGTAACGTGTTCAAAGTGTTGCGTGATCGTAATTATAAAGTACTGGAGCGTAAATAATAATCCCTTTTCAAGATTCAATTAGCATGCTTTCTATTCGGCCACTTATTTACCAACAATTTAATGGAGTTCATTCATTTATGACAAGCCCTGTAATTACATATTTCCGAATTGAATATTTAGTTATTCAAAATAGAGCACCCAAACAACATAACATCTGCTAAAAACAGACGAATATGAAAAGTTTCCAGTTCCTTGATGTGATAGATTTTCAGTAAAATCAAAGCGGCTCGGAACCAGATGTGTCAAGTATTTAAATTAAGGTACCACATGTGGGAAAAGGCTGCAAGGTCATTTTTATTTTTAAATAGAAAATTTGATTTCCATGTGATTTTTATCATTTTAGCCGTTACGTTCTGAACATCGATAGATTAACAAAAATGTTTAAAAATCGCACTCAATTATCCGTGTTTCCGAGTGAACAACGCTCTTAAAAAGCTTTCAAGAACCTGTAGAGTACATTGAAACAACCGCCAGTTATTAGTTTTTCTGACTTTTAAGAAAGTTGTCCTCAATGTAACTAACAAAAATTCTTACACTTTCTTAACTTAACCGCCGATCCAAAGCGACCAGTTTCAGCGTGTTTGCAGCTTTTCGTCCTTTCAGGAAGTTTTCAAATGCTGCTTGCGACAGGCATCGGGTAAATTATATAGTCAAATCGATTAGACATAGAGATGGGATATTTACTGAACTTCCAACTATCACCTAAACTCCAGCACCAGACCAGATTTAAACTTGCAGGCTTACACCGCCAACATTTGCTGATTTTAATAATTTGCTGATATTAAATAAAGCACTTAGTATTTGATGATTTCTTAATTTACGGCTGAAATATATACAACCCAATTATTTAAACGAAATTTGTTAAAAACCTTGCAGGAAAAATGTAGAATGAAAAATTTCTCAAGTTCTCTCTGCTTTTTTATTTAAGTTCAGTGATCTGGCATGAAATTATGTTTTATGTTATTTTGCATTTGCAGTTGAAACAGTAAAAAAGTACATTTAATTCCCCTTTTTCTAGTGGACTTGATATTGATGCGATATTAGATTCAATCGGGTAAGATCAAAAAATCGAATAACTATCGCACAAATTAATATTCACCAACTTAAATAGGTAGTAAGATTTGTTTTATGTAATCCCACGTTTAATCAGTTGATAATATTTTCTGGCATTTCGGACTGAAAACATAGCAACTACTAAAACATACTAAAACAAAAAAAAATTCAATAAAAATATAGATAAATAATCTGTATGTCTTGCGATACAAGCTATCGACCGCATCGGTCTTTCTGTTCTCTAAATTTTAATTTTCTTGACTTTAAAAATAGTGTTGACTTTAGAGCAGTAAAGTCAGAATCAGTTGAATGAAATCTTAATTTAGCCTAAACTAAGCAAAATGCAAGTGAAAATAAAATCAATTTTGCTACTTCAATATTTGATTTTTATGGTGCATTGCAAAAATGTGCCAAATTGGCGAAGATTTACATGTTTTCGATACTTAGAATAATCGAAATCAGATACTGAGAAATTAATTTAAATTTTTTTAGATGCTTTTTACAGTAACAGAAAAATATTTCCTGTGGTAATGTTATTTTTATTTTACGAAGAACATTTGCAAATTTTGGAATCGATAAAATCAGTTATGGCACCACTAATTTTTGCCACGTATTTTAACCGTTTTTCAAACAATAAAGGCAAATACATTTTCCGGTGCGAATTTTATATTTTGCATACTTAATTTGAAATTAGTGGTCAAAATCAGTTAATGCTTTATACTGCATTTTTCGGAATATTGACGCCAAATATGTTCGTTCGACGTAAAAGTTAGTTTAAATACGTTTAGGGCTCTCTGATTAGGTACTTTGTCGTTTTGCAAGCATGAACAATTTCCAAATTGCTTGACTAAAAAAATCACAAAATGTTAAAATATATTAGTAATAATATAAAAAACGAAGACGTTATATTAAGTAAACCCATATAAATAAATATTCTTCTTTCACTTTTTTAAATTAATTTCTTTAGACTTTACTTGTCTAAACTTCAGGATTCAAAGGTCTTCAATCTAAACGTAATTAATTTGAGTCATTTTCAGGCTAGAAAATGTTTCTTCTAAATAAACACAGCAAAAATTGCATATTTGGAAAAATTATAGGCTTAAAATTCTGTCGACTTAGTCATTGACTTTGGTAAAAATCGGGAAGAAGATTTTTGTTTTTCTGAAATTCAGGGTTTAAAGATATAAAGTTTAAATTAATTAGTTTCAGTAATTTTTGAGTTTTTGCATTTTTTGCAAGAAAAAAAATCTATATCAAAAAATTGAAAATAAAAAGTCCTCCATATTGTTCATCCCTTCTTATAAAAAATGTAGGTATAGTTCAAGGTAATTAATGTCATATCTGTTCCATTCCTATAGAATAAAAATAAAAATGGCTTGTGAAGGCAGAAAAAAATACATATTTCGAAAGAATGCAAGCGCTGGAGCCGGCTTATGAAACTGATATATTTGCAGGGCGAAGAAACGGTGGTTTGTAACGGTAAAAAGCGACCTAAAGCAAAATGTTCCCAAACGCAATTTCACGCATTCTGTGACTTTCAACATTAATTTTGATGGAAAAAATTCAATTTTCAAAACAAATTCGAGAAAAAAAACATTGTATTCTGGGAGCGATAATCTAACTACAACCGCATCCAGTTTTTTAAAGATTTGCCAAAGTACTTTTCTTTACTACCCTTCTTTAAGTCCCTTATTTTATAATGCCAAACGATAAACTCGGGCCATAAACGTTGAGTTGAATCTGAGCAAAAAAACCTTAAAATATCTGCTGCCCTAAAGTGAAACAAACTTGTACAAAGCCAGCAGTAAACAAAAACACCCATCTAATCCGACGTAACCCATTTAAAGAACCAACAGGTTGATCAAATATGCATTAGGCTAAAACTAACCTAGACAATAGTAAAATTATAGATCCATATATCCAAATGGGACCGAGCACTAAGCGCACACCGAGCGTGGTCACTCGCCGACACTCTCCGAGCTCCGAGCAAGAAGCTGTCGTCTGCAAAGCGCAGTGAGCACCAAATGAGTGGACGTTTCTTTGAAACGCCGGATGTTCTGTGAGAATTTCGTTCAGAAATTTGAAAAGAAACGAGCTGGCCGGGCTGTGACTATGAGCGCGATTCTCGTCTAGAGCAAGCCAAGGAAGTTAGATTCGTAACTGCCTCCTGCTCGGGCAGATCAGCCCGGGCGGCTAGGCCTGCTGGCAATGTTGCCGGCGCTTGTCCTGGACGAATTTTCAAAATCGCGAACACAACTGTTTAAAGACCCCAGGTGATGGCCAGGAGATGATCTGAGGATTTACGTTTTCCTGCTGAAAGCAGGAAAACAGCTGGAACTTTGCTTTATCTTCCACTGCAATACGTTCACGTAAAGCCCGCCGCAAAAAGTCGCTTGCTGAAAGCGAATTGATATAGCATTATCATCAAACTTAGTGCTCCGCAGGAAGATGCACTTTACTGATTGGGCTGGAAAACACGGATCAACGTGGAATGGATGAAGTCAGCAGGGTATCGTGCTTCAAATACAAAGCAAAAACTGAAAATCATTGCATTTTATAAGACGCTTAGAAGTCACTTTGCAAAAATACAAGGTTTTTCTGTAGTAATTTAGTCAACGTTTTCGATTTCAAGTTTTTATTGAAAAAATAAAAATGTTTTTAAAGCATGAGCCAAAAACAACACAATACATATAAAGTGATAACACTTTACAAATAAATAAAGACTAGAAGATAGAAGAGCCCGGATGGTGAATCAATCATTGTAAGAGCTACAGATTTGTGGGTTATTTAGCTCATAGAGTCTGCAATCCTTGCAGCCTTTATGATCCGAATTACTTAAAAGACATGGATAATACTGAAACGTTTAGGACATGCTGCCGACAGTAATATTTTATTACGGATATAGGAGAATTATTTTTTTGATTCATCCGGTGTTATCTCACAACTTGAACTATACAGATCCAATGGCTTGTAACTCAGTCGTGCAATCACATCAGAAAACTATTTAAAGTTTCCTGTTCAAAATGAACTTTCAAAAACATCTTAGTGAAAACCAGTTAAAATTGTCAGTTTTACTGTTCTTACAATGAGCCAAGTGAATAAAAGACTAATGAACACTTAATAAAATAATTAACTAGTGAGTGAAAGTGAAGACTTATATAATAACGAACAATAGAGCTAATAAAAGCAAATACTGTATTATAGATATACATATAACATTTACTTCAACTAAGTATTTTCTTATGAATATATATGAAAATAACAAGTGAAGAAGAACAATATTCTCATTATCGTCGTTCCAAAGCAAAAATAAATGGTTATTTGGCGTATCCAGAATTGTCGATTTCAAAACAAGCATTCATATAGCAGAGTGGCACGAATATTTAAGTGTTCTGAAATTCATTGGCCTGAAAATGTAAACTGTAACACACATTTTAATTTACTCACACTAATTGTTTTTCTCCCTAGATTTTTTCTCATTTTGAATTTTAGGAACAACTTCCCGCCCGTTTAAAATTACATAGTATTTATTCCGGCTCAAAAAGCATAAACTTACGCATTCCTCATTCAATTAAAGTAACTACTTCAAAAATCGCCTTTTCTCCATTTTAAATTACTTATTAAAAACAGATGTTAATGCTATTTTTATAAAGCAAAGCTTGAAGTTTTATTCCTGTTGTTCCTCTACAACTATTTATTACCTTGTATTCCCTAACATATTTTATTGTCGTTTCGATAGAGAACCTAAAACACCGCAACATATTTTTTTAAATGTATTTCTTTTGTGTTTATTTCGATTTTATAATGATAACAAAAGGGAACAACTGAAAAGCATTTTTGGTCTAAAATGTGGCCAAAACAAATCAGGGTTCAATCAACTCCCCTGAAAATATCCGATCGCTTCATCCCTTACGGGCTGATTCAATATTCTAAAACCCACACCGTAAGCACAGTTCCGCTATTCTTAAAGGTTAATTCGTTTTACATATTTGATGCGAACTCTCGTTTTCCAGTTTGGAAAAATTTTATCCATATTTTCCTCCGCAAAGTCGATAAGTTTGCTGAAGGTTTTCTCGGAAGCGTTTCTGAACTAACCTCATGCATTTTCACACAAATCTTTGTTAATGCTGTAATTTCATATGTGAGTTTCACGTTATTTCTTTACAATTTGAGTTGATCTGACCGGGGACATTTCTCCAATTTAATACCCTCAGAAACAGGTTCTTTGCACAGTGTTCTCAAACTCGACTTTTGCCGTCTTTAGAAAACAGTTCAGTAAATAGGTAGTTCAGTGAGAAGTTAGTTTCTTTTCACATTTCATCTATTTTCAACCCAAATACTCGCTCCATTTGCTTGTGTATCTCTGTGATTGCTGGCGTATTTAGTGCCCATATATAACCATTTAGAACATACATATTATTAATCCATTCTCATAAAACAAGCTCTGATACAAATACAAACACTGCCAACAGCATATTATTAAAGCAGACAATCAAACCTATGTAAACATCATTACCTTGTAATGGAATTAATTGAACTACGCCCATTATGTTAAATAAATAAATAGGATATTGATTCCCACCGTTAAATTGAAGCTTCTATTTAATTCATAGTTGTAGGTATAATCATAAATTATAAATTGTCTTTTTAAGGGGCTGAAAGGATGAATGCGGTGTAAGCTGAAGATATTTTTGCAGGTCGCAATCGGCTTTTTAATGCAACATCGTCTTACATCGCTAACGATACAAAGAGTAAGATGAAATTACAAAAATATTTTTCGAAAGATGTGAAATTTAGACCGTAAAAAGGAAAACGGAAAGAACGAACGCTTCAATTTTAGTTAAAATACTTTGGTTCGAACATTGATTGAAAATTCAGGATTTACGATTCACAAAAAGTTTGCTGTTTTTCTCCTTAAAAGTTGCAGAAAATCAACCAGAGTAAACAATTAAGAAAAAATTCAATTTCTGAAAATTCTTTAAAAAAATCATGATTTCAACCTCAAGCAAACCAGCGAAATCTCCATTGCTGAGTCCAATAAATTGACCATATTTAAGTAATAAAAATTGAGTACTTTAGTTACGTTTTCCAAAAACTTTTTAATTAGGCAGAGCTTTTTATACCAATCAAAAGCAAAACTGGATCAGAAAAACGGCGTTAGAGATATTCACACTTTATTAGCCGAATATTTGCGCACATAATCGACATGATTCCGGCATTCTAACGACTTTTTAAAGATACACTCGATTTATTCAAGCAATCATTATTCCAAACTCAAATAAGCCAGAAAAGTCGTAATTGCACTGATTTGGTAAAAGTTATCCAAACTACATAGAAGCACGTTGGATTGGTCTAAAAGAAAATTGGAAAGTAGAATGATGGGAAATTGAACTGCTGTTTTAACTAACAAAATAAGTTTTCTTGGAGTTCAAAGACGAGTTTTTTAAACTTGCATCTAAGAACTAATCGCTCGAAACCACATAGAAAAACTGTGACGCTGAATTATCCTTTGTATTGCCGCTCAAGTTTGTAATTAAATAAATAAACATGTTTTTATCAGAAATTTCAGCAAAAGCTAAATAGAATAGGACAACGAATTTTGCATCTTTTATTCAATTTTCATTATGACATTGCAGCATTTTAAATTAAAAAATACATATATTATGATTATTGATATGTACATCTTGCAAATTTCCTGTATATTTATTTCCATTTTCAAAACTTGTGCCGCAATATAAATTACATAGGAGATAGTCTTTGATTGGAGCGATATTGAATCTTGTTTTTATCCTAGTTACAATTGATAATTGAATTCAGACGGTTCAACTGCCTGCCGCAGCACAAGAACACTTTTCTCGTAGGTGGTTTGATTGTTAAGACAACAACATTCCTCTATGGGGGCAAAAGCCATCAGGAAAGCTCGGGTAACTGCACGTATTTATAGGATCCAACAAATGACTGCCCACTGAGCAAATAATAGAAGTAATGTTGTAATAATCAATCCTGTGGCGAAACGATCAAGAATATCTCTTGACGTGTACGGATTAATCCCGCCGGGATAATTCATCCTGAAATGTCCGATTCTGATTCGGCCTGGTCAGCGCCAAATTCCTCCCAATGGGATGTCAAACCAACCGAATTACCTATTAATATAATCGTTTTATATGTGCATTATTGTCGAGCGCTAAACGGGATTTTGGAATATTGCCATCCCTCGATGGTAAGACACCAACGGTAATTAAGATCAGAAATTGCTTTCGCAGTAAAGCAATTTAAACTGCTCAACACTAAAAGACATTGTCTATACTGGCTTTAGCTTGGATTCGACAAAACCGAAAAGAAATCGGAGACGAACAAAAGTGGAAGACTTTTGTGAACTACAAGAAAAGCGTAGGAAGGCCAGACACACGACTGCTAGAGGACCTAAAAGGAGTAATAGGAAGAAGATCCCACCAAATAAGAAGGAACAGAAAAATTTTAAAATTTCAAGAACAACCATATTTAGGAGGGGACGGGAAAATGCTGCTGGGAAGAAAATCATGAAAATGCAATGGTTTGTCGCTCAATCAAACACATGAAAAACCTTTCAATGAGGCCACATCTAAGGGTGAATTTCTAAGAAATTGGTTAGTTTTTATACAATAAAATGACTGCGATTTTGATAGTTTGGAATATGCAAAGATTTGGACGCTTAATCAAAACCAGCTTTTTACTTAAAAACTGTGTACTTTCAGGAACATACTCCTTAGATGCTTAATGTCCCAAAGTTATCTTATAAAAAATTCGAGGTGCCAAGGTTTTTGAGCATTCCTGATATACCTCTTAGCAAATTTCTCTTAATACGTTGGCCGTAGGTGTAAAACGCGTACTTTAAAAAAACACTTATCATGCAGATTGAGTGTCATCCTCGTACATTTAGTATCATAGTGCAAATGTCATTTTAGAAATGTTTTTGTGTGCCCTTAATGCTTTGCAGATTAAAATTAAACCACCCTGTATATCTGGAAATTCAATTAATACGTAATTTTTGTTTTTTTTGTACAGAACATGCTAACCCAACTTAGAACCCTTTGTGTGATTTAAACATTTTTTAACTTTATTAAATATAAATTAATAACTTAGCAAATCCCCATCAGAGATTGCAGTGCAGACAACAAGCAAAGCTTTTGATGAAAAGTAACGAAACTTTATTTGAACTTTTGTTACCAAAAGCAAAATCATCAAACTGCACACCGCTGATATTTTCTATGTTGTAACCGCTCAATCTATGCATAAAATAACCGAAAAATTTAGAGAATAGTATCCAAATAACGCACCAGCAGGATATGCAGTATGCAGCAGGCGGGCATCGACGCCTCCGTCCCAAACGGATTTTCGCTTATCAGTAAGACCGCTACACAGTTGCCAACGTTGTGTTTAATTATAGATTTTCAGGGATAATCCATTGAATAGCAAAATTCTTCAAAATCGTTAATTATAACAACTTAACCAAGAAGACACTGTAAGATTATTTTCAAAACTTTGTTCAAATCGTCCATTTCTTGAATTAAAAACAATTAGATACTGATAAAACGTTGTTCTTATTTCATATTCCACTTTCCAAAGAGGCGAATTTCTAGCAAACCGTAAATAACATTTTCGATCGGAAAGATCCGATATATATAAATATATCGATAACCATTTTTTTCCGATATCTGAAAAGCATTTTTCTCATTTTTAACAGCTTTCAAATCTTTATGTTTCCAATTATTTAAAATTAATTTTTTGCCAGATTAAAAACAATGTTGTAGAGGGTGGGCCCAGTAAACTCCCCACTTTATACATATTTTATACAATGTGTTTGACCATTTTTTTCTGCAAAAGAAGTTTACCCTTGATCGCAGATCTGAGTATTTGCTGCAAAAAACTACTTGACAATGTGTATTTTTCGCATAAAATACCATACAGTTTCCGTTTATGAAAATAGTCGTCATATTACTGAAATCACCACCCGATTACCATGCAAATTGCAAAGCATATAATTCCCATCCTACGAATATGACAACAGTTCCGTCCGCTAATAATCACAAACATTTAAAATAATTTATAAATATAGAAAATAACTAAGTAGTAAGTACTGCAATTGCCTTGAACAATGGAATTATATAGTTTATGCTAATTTGTAATAATTTGCTGTAAAATGGTTTCCCATTGTTACCAGAGTCTACCAGATATATGAGGTACTTACCGAATCCGCTAAGTGGCTTTGTGATAGGAAAACCTCAAGTCATACCTGAAAAGAAAAATGCGTTGTTAAAATAATCTCATTTGCATTATCCAAGAATAATTTTTTAAAGAATTCTTTATTCCGCGAAATGAAAAAAAAATATATCAAAACATTTCCCGAAACATTATAGTCAATATACAGGGTGCCCTAATGTGCTTAGATTTGTTGTTGCAATTTCTTGTTGTCCTGCTTAAACCTTTCTTTTTGCATCATTATAAAATCATAGCACACATCATTATCAAGTAGCTCGAAAGCGATGACAAATACAAAATCGGAAAAGATGAAAAGTTTCCAAGATAAATGACCAGTAGTATGAAGACTATTAGAATGAGAGACCCCGTGAAGATAGAAGAAGTCAGGCCAGACCACCGACGGAATGGGCAGCCGATATACGGAAAACAGACAACTGGATGCAACTTGCACAACATACAAATTCTTAGCGCCGTTGGAGGAAGCTTATGTCCAGCGGTGGACACGAGGAGAAGCTGGATGATGATGATGAGCACTTTTTCGAGCAGTTCATGGTTTTCATATGGCTATAAAAATGTGGACAAATGAAAAAATTGCGTGGCTTAGGCTTGGAAAATACTGACGATTTAGGTTTGCTTTTAACAATATTATCGCCTGAGTTATTTGGAAAGCCTTTCCGACAAAGACAAAGTAAACACATTGTCATTCTGAACAAAAATATGTGGAATACTTTTCCAAAAAGTCACCACCGATTTCAAGAAAACTTCAACTGGGATTTTACGTTAAATATTTTATTTGCCGTTATTTATGAGCAGCTTTAAATGTTCCCCACATTTCAACCATCCGCTATTAAAATAACGGATAATATCTCAGACGTTGCCTAGTTTACGATCCTGTTGTTGCCAAAATTTGAAGTATCGTAATTTATCCTTCTTACGTCCGTTTTGTCGCAATGGGTCAGTTTCAGTAAAATTGCACATTTACTGTTCCTTACAAGAAGTCTACTTTACTTGATTTGATGACATAAAGTAAAATATTTGTATGCAACAAAATGAAATTCTACACATAAACAACGTTCGCTGGGAATGCAAAGAAATAAAATCCGGTATTGTTCAACATTTCATTTGTTTGCTCAAGACCCTCCCGTATGGAATGGCGAAAACGCATTTCAGCTCAGTGGTTTGTTACTGTTTGCACCGATGTGCCTTTAAAATATATTGAATATCGGCAACATAAACGAGATGACTGCAAGATTGAACATGAATAGTTTACAGGTAGGTATATAAGTGAATTTCCCTTCTAGATATGGGGAAAATGGGACGCCATTGAACCGTCTCTACTGCAAATGGATATTCCATAAAATAATACCGTGTCCCTGCCAGCCATGTCATAAAACAGGATACATCGTAATCTAGCTAGTTTTCATGTAATTCCAGCTAGCATAAATGGTGAATAAAAATGCAAATTCAAAGTCGATCATGACATCAACACAACATCGCACAGCACAAGCTTGATTAATGCACATATAATGTTCTAAAAATAATATATTCCATACCAACTCATGGCCTAAGCTGGAAAGCAAATTTCCAAAGCGGCAAGATTACTTCTTAACTTTTCTCCTTTCCTACTCTTTAGCGACCATAAAGTTTATTAACGCAGGGATCAAAGTTGCAAAGTTACTTTAATCCAATTACGGCTCGACTTTAGTTTCGCAAATCCCTATCGATTTTTTTCTTTGGAATTAACTGTCCTCTAGTGGCCTCAATAACGAAGCCCTAGGTAGAATATTCAAATAGGGATTCTAGATAAAGTTGCCGAGAAGATCCTTTATATATCAGCAGTAGTTTGGAATGATGTTGTGGTAATAGGATTTCATTCAATAGCTGAAGTAAAGTAACTGTTTCTGAGAAGAAAAGAATATATAAAACTAGCAATCAGCTCTCGATAATCGCCAACATTTTCCAGACTTGACAAATCAGCTGCTCAAACTTCCAAAGGATCAAATAGACGTACGAGGGTTTAGTTTTAGAACACAAAAATTGCCCAAAAAAGAAGCAGGAAAAACAGATAATCAACCACTCCCTCAATTTGTTCAATATTTTCTGCAGAAAACAATGAAGTAAAGTGCAAACTGTTAACGAGCCAATTGAATTTAAAAGACGAATTTAAAGGTAAATCCTCCCCTACTGTTTACAATTTCTTTCTAAAAAATACGTCAGTTTATACACGTGTTATGGAATCATTAATCATAAATAAAATACTCTTTTATTGAAAACCTAAATCAACTGGAAGAAAACGCTGTTACCAACATATTTTTTCGCCCCAACCGTATAAAAATAGCCAATCATTTTAATTTTAAATGCCACATGCTCCAAACATATATTCTGCGCTAATACCAGCTTACAAAAAATTGTTTTCTCTGCACGAAGGCAGTGTTTCCTCTTTGTGGCTCTATTCATTAATATTGAGCCAGTCGCTGCTGTGAAGATGATCTAATAAAGGTCCGAATATTGACTATACAAATTTCAATATTCCGGCAAAAAGAAAAATACGTTTTCATTGGCAAACATCGTCGGACGTGCAGCATGTTATATGCCAAGTGAGTTTTAGAAGATTTAAACGATTCTATTTTGGATTTTGCTCTTCTTTGGCAGTGCTGTTCTCTAGCAGTACTGGTAGTGTTAGAGATGTTATTCTTTTTACACCGAACTTCAACCCAACCCTTCACCTCATAAAGTGAACCGAAAATTTGACGATCAAAATAAAAATCCAATGGTTCTATTTGAAATACGCAAGATATTGAAGCTTAAAAACATCGAATTTGTCGACTGAGAAGTTGACTCGGAGGTTCGTGGAGAACTTTTCATAAATAAAAACTTTAGTCAGTTTGCAGCTGACTAGTTACTCTTGGAGCCCCATAAGATTGATTTACCTATTTCTGGGGACCCCAGCAATTGTAAAAATTTTCAGATTTTTAAAATAATTCGAAAACCGTAAATAAAACTTATCAATAAAAAATTGCAAATGGGTAGGTTTGCTGTATCGAATTTATTCCTAAATAATCACAACTCTGTATATTTGCTCTGCAAACGAGAGATGTATTCATCATTTTTATCGTATGAATTATCCGGAATAAAAACAAACCCTTTACTGAAATTACCTTAAACAAGCCGGATAGCCGGATGCCGTGTTTACAAAGCACCAAAGGTCTCTAAATCAAATTAATGCCGAAAGCAAATACCGGTCCCAATTTAACTGCTGTGTCTGAAATTAAAGAGATTTCCCAAGGAAAACAATGCCTTTTCCTAAATGTAATAAAGCTCGAAAACAGTGCTTTTAAATTTCAAACCAAAAACAAATATTTCTTAATAACGCTTTAGAGGGCTTAAACGTATCTGGGGCAGTAATTAGGTTGGAGGAAAAAAAATCATATTTCAATCTAATTATGAAAGAAAATGAGGATGCTTGCTTTTGAAGTTCATGCTGAGAGAACGAATTTTACAGGCACGGCTTAATAGTCGGAGAAATTCGGAATCCCCATTCTTTAATTTTGGAAGTTGCGAGGTTGTTAGTCACGTTTCTGATTTAAAATCGTCATTTCGTTCACGACAAGCTTACGGAAAAACAAACTTAATGGAGTGACAATGTGTTTGAGCTGCAACATTAAATTTCAGTAGTTAAGTCTTCCAAGTCGCCAATTTCCCCACGGAACAATTTATTATGAGAATAAGTACCAATAAAAACTTGGTATCAGAAGTGTGATATTTTAGTTTTTAAAATGATCAGGCTTAGTTCATTTTACTAGTTGACCTCAAAATTCCAAAATATCCAGACAATTTTTGTTAATTTGATATGGAATGAATGGAATGATAATACTGAGTGCTTCCCTGGCATTGTCGGTTCCGCTCTTGATGGATCAATATTCCAGAGTTCTGTTAGCGGGACCGAGGTTGAACACTTGAAACCTCTCATTTCTTAACTTTTCATTTCGCGTCTTCTCTACCGGAAATTTTTATGCAGAAATTTCTACAGACGGATTCCAATTTTCCCGAATGGTCAAGGGAATAATTAATGAGGGCCATCCCCGCTTGATCTTAATTTTATTGCTGCGAAAAATTTTATCGGAGGAAAACGCAATTGCTTTGATGTAAGACTTGGCATTTTTCAAAGGCCTACCTATTTGAAAATTTTATAAATTCTTATTTATTCTGAAGCGCACTGAAATGGATTAATCTGAATATTTTACCTCTAATTAATTTGTATTTTGATACATTTATTCATTTTATTAGCCGTGTTTTAACAACACGGCTTGTTCTGAAATTAGAAACGTTTGCATTTAAGTTATGTAAGCTTAATTTACTGTACTGATATAGTACAGAAACAGTTTTTTTCGCGGTTTTTTCTTCGGCAATGGGGCCAAGCCAATTCTCTCAAAAAACCAGAAAGATTTGGCCTTTAAAACGACGTAAATTTACATTTAAATTGTGTTTTGTTTTTGCGTCTTTCCATGCGGTCATTATTACGTTAATTATTAATGTGAAATGAGTTTTATAATTTAAATTAAATGCAGCTCTAAATCAGGATTATTTTATCGTTTTGCTTCATTTATAATTTGACTAATTTGGATTCGTTACTGCTGTGCCGGCATAACATTAGAATATATTAGGCACTCAGACGGCACTGAGGACAAAAAGCGTGACGCGGTCTGTAAAAGAACCTCTAAACATATATTCTCATCAAAATCCAACCCCTTTCGGCGTTAGAGTTTTTTTCGCAAAACGGCACGGAACACCTAATTGCTTTATCCACTCGGGGCATAGTCAAAGCTTACAAAATATAGTAAATTGCCAGTGCAAAAGCTAAAAGCTGCAATTAAGGCTCTCGTAGTACGTAGAACCGGCATCCTACTACATTAGTGCTCCAATGAACATTCTTGATTGGCCATTGTTAAATATTCGGTACCAACAAAGAGCGGCAATTATCGTTTCGTTTTGGTTTAAGAGCTCTGGATGGACCGCGTTTCTAATTATTCGCCCATTTTGAAGGGAATGTTAGCAATTCGGTTATTCATACTCTGTACATAATATGCTCAAGTTGCATCTAAGCAAAATTTTTAAACTGTAATTGTCAATTTCAAATTTGTAAATTGGAAAAGGACACGTAAAACTAGAAGTTTTAAATTTGCGTTGCATAGAGAATAGAAAATTCCATTCAGTCATAACAAGACAAGTGAGGAAATTCGTGTAGTTTTGACCAAGGAAGCGAAATTTGAATGTCAGACGCTTACGTACAAGATTATGCCAATTTTTCATGATTTCCGTCCCGTTTTTGCTCATATCTCGGAAGCAAAATAAGCAAGAACGCTCATTTTGACATCATTCCAGAGAGAACTAAATGGCCTTTTGAGAAAGTGAACCATCGATTAGCAAATGTAGGCAGTTTTCTCAAAGTCTTGATTTTCTTTGAATTTTAAAGAAAATTCGAGTAGTTTTGCCCTAGAAAGCGAAATTTAAATATCAGACATTTAGGTGCAAGATTAAGCCAAAATTTTATGTTTTCGGAAGCTCCGTTTCGTTTTTGCTCACTTCTCGGAAGCAAAATGTCATTTTAACACCTTGCACACAGTAATTAAATAACATTTTTGTGAAATTTTTGCGCAATTTCTAATTAGCAGTAGAGCAATAAATATTTGCCATAAAAAATTACACTGCTTGCTTCTAAGCCCAAATAATACCGTTAATTCAAATTTCCCAGGATATTTTCCTCCTCGTTCTGAAAAAGTTACAAAACAACTCTAATTACACAAACAGTCATATACTTCAAGATACTTCCAAATAGCGCCCGTCAAATCAGCCCTCAGGAGAGGAAACATAAATAAAACAAATAACGAAAGCAGAAACAGGAACAGCAGGGACTAGGCAAAATGTTCTGATTTTCCCCAGACTGAAGAAGTTGAAGCCGATTAACTCGCAACGAAATATTTCAACGACAAACGAATGTAAAAAGTTTCAAATTTTAACCAACCGGAAAGGAGTGGGAGTTTGGATTTATTAAATCCGTTCGTATAGCGACTAATGCATGAATTTGCAGTTGTACAATTCCATCTTTATTTTACATTTATGGGATTTGCTCGCTCTTCAGTTCAGGAAGCGAGTAACTAAACTTCCATAGAAATAAAAGAGAATTTCGAGTTCATCTCAAGTATTGAACAAACAAGTTTTAGTAACTTTTAATTAAATTACTTCAGCCGACATTCTTTTTCATGTCTTTTATTTCAATGGGACGAAACTGTTCTAACCGATAAAGGCATTTCTGGGATTTGATGTTAAGCTTAAATTAATTAAGGCTTTTCTTTTCGAATGACTTCGAAATAATGTGTTTTCGAAAAGTTTTAGTTGATTAAGGTATTTCGCAGCATTTTCGAGCATTTATTTAAAGGATTAAAAGTTTTCATCGTCTGATACCTTCAGTAGATTTCAAGACGCTGCCTAAACGGCTGAGCAAAGTATAGAAAAATATTCAATTGCTACCGAAAAATTCTGCAAAAGGAATAAACTTCGGGTTCTAATATTAAGTCAGAGGAAAGCCCTTTAAAAGTATAATAGTATTCAAAATTGAGAAAAGTCCACAAGTACAGAAAATAATGTTTCAATTGTTGCTATTACATCATTAAAAGCATTGATTCGTTTTTCATTAAGTTAGTGTTAAAGCTAAATAAACTTTTCACTGTAAGCTCCGCTCAGAGTTCTCGTTGAACTCGTGTGTAATGTCGGCCCGGTTTTCCAGCGCTTTCCTGGAAAATATCCCGGAATATTGGTTTCCCGTGCCCGGTTCTGCTCTCCTAATACTGACTGATCGGGAATTGACTATGGCTGATGATTGGAAATTTATCGATGTTACCGGGGACATTTCAAGTGGATTTTGCGTTGAAATTAGCCGAAGGCATGGGTTAGCGCGGTTTTTGGGAGATTTTCGCTAACAAATTATGACAAAAATTTATTAGAACCGCATTAACAACTAGGTTGAATAAAAAAAAATACAGTGGTTACTTAGTTCGAATGCGAGTTCTTTCAAGTTTTCTTCGAACAAGATTTTATTTGCGAAGTGTTTGGTTCACCCACTAATATTTGTTGAATGTGTAAATAGGAAGGTTATCAATGAAGAATAAAGTTTGGCAAATCAAAAAATTATGTCTAAAAGTTTTATTGAAGAAAAGCAAATATGAAGCTGATGAAGAAGTTGCAATCAAGGCATAGAAACTTAACAAAACAGAAACAATGGATGGCCAGGTTTTCGGGTGTAAGAAGTAACGAAAACGTAACGAATATTTGTAAAAAAATTATCAAATAATTGTTGTTGTTAATGTAAACATTAATTTTTCATGAAACAATGTTTTCTTAAATTGGCACTTTTTAAGCTCTAAATGTGTAAAATCTGCGCCTTTGCATTTGCTAGAAACTTCTTGTTGGTGAACTGGTATTTGGAAAGCTGGCTTTGAAAACTACCAGAGCACAACAAAAATATTCGAAATCTGACAAACATTTCTTGAGCCGACCACCAAACATTGGAACATTAAAATGAAATTTTTAAACTGCGCAAAAAAGTGAAAGAAAAGCCATCTTTGACCTAACAGCTACTATCTTCCACTCTGTACATCTGCAGTAAATTCAGCGCAAAATGATGAATTTTTAACTCTGAAATCAGTGTTTAGCCTTCAGCTTCTCATCGTCTCAACAGGTAGCTGAGCGCGATCACGCCGTAGGATATAACCTAGCACAAAGGCCAATAACCTCAGTAGAAACTCGCCAAATAACCACCCAAAGAACCAATAGTTGAATAAACCCGTGACTGAAACTGAGCCAAAAGGGCCGAATAGGAATTTACCTGATTTTCCTGCTGCGATGCCTGCGGACTTTCCCTGGGCAGGACAGCAATCCATTGCTCGTTCCTTCTGAACACTGCACTGCACAAAAATGGCAACATAATCAACAACAGGTCGCAGCATGAATGGCGATGTCTGGAAAAACGGGAAATGGAATTTGGGAAATGTCAACATCCGAAAAATAAAGATAACATTTGACCGGTTTAGCCGATTTTTTGTTTATATGACACGTTTTTTCGCTATCGGCCGAACAACCGGGAACGCTAGGGGGCGGCAGCGTGCATGGCTGGATGCTTATCCCGTTCCTGCCTTTCGACGCGGTTTTGCCTTGATGTCGATCGATAAATAGCTTTGAAATCTACGCAAAAACTGCAACTTGCTTTCTCGCCCCTTATAAGGTTGGTGTGATTACAAAGGTTCATTTTAGGATAACACTGCGCTTTATGGACATCATCATCATCATTTAATCATTAAGGGTTGAACTTTTGTTGAAAATAAAAATTGCAATTATTTTTTCAAACAAATGTTTTCTTGTGAATTTGGGTTTTAGATTCGCGTATTGCTACAACATTATTACCACCTAGTGTTTGTTGAATCATTTTTTTTCAAAAACAAACCGTAGTATCGACGTTAAACAATAATATTTTTTTGTATAAATTATTGCTCTATAAGGTTTTGAATTAAATTAAAATAAACGTAGAGGGTCTTCTAACGGGTATACAGGGTGAGACAACCGTGCATTAGAAAAGTTTTGTGCAAAATCAAATGCCTTTCATAAATAGTGTCTAAAGCGTACCCTAAAATATCTCCAAGGGCTTCGGAATGGGGATCTATAAGTATTGTAATATATATATAAAGCTATTATAAATAGGAGCACTATTTATCAATCTGTAATAAAAGACGTGAGGAAATTCTGTCTTTTTTAAAGACAAAAATTTTTGAGGCGAAATACCCAAAAAGAAGTTTGTAAAAATGAATCCGCCTCAACAATATAGAACTTATCTACAACTTAGGTATGGGCCTCATATCTGTTCTATTTTTCGATATCTAGAATCCAAATCTTCAACACTCTGAAAACAGTTTAACATTTTTACATAAATGCAAAAACAATAATATTATTCCAAAAGGCTTACGACTTAAATCTCCATATGACATCAATACACAAGTAACAAAAATCTTAAACAGAGCAAGTAAAGCTTTAGTTAGAGAAAGAATTCAATATCACAGATTAAATAAAATCAAACTAAAAAACGAAATACATGACATAAAACAACACTTACGATACAAAATCTCTTTTGACGACTTTAATCACATATGTAATTCCGTTAATAAAACCTATGAAAGAAAATTTATTATTCGAAAACAAATTCATAACCATAAACTAGAAAAATTACTCAACGAAAAAATCAAAAAAGACATTTTTAGTATAAAAAATAAACAATTTCTGGATAAAACAATTATAAATTTATCTAATAAATTATTAACT